TATTTCTGTAATTTTTTCTTGGGGTCCTTCCATGTTTCCGTCTTTTTTTGATGACACATTACTAAAGGGCGAAGAGTATATCTGGATTATAAGTGATGCAGTTTCTCACAGGTGTGTTGTTTGTAGTTCCTTCTCACACCCCATGGTTTTCTTTTGTGTGCTTCCCAAAGGGAGATTATCTTATCACCGGCCCTCCATTGGTTGAATGTGTGATTTTAGCTTTCTGTGAGAGGAGGTAAGATATTGTATCAGAGTTAACATTTTCCTAAACTAAAAATGTATTTCTGATAGATTCTTACCTCTGCTTTCCTTTCCCACCTGCCCTCCCCACTTCTGATGTGGCTTGGTTTGATCTAACTAATCTTGAAGTGGTTGACATGTGAAAGATTAGAGAGGACACTAATTGTGATAGAGTTAATGTTGCACTCTTATTGGTGACGGGCTGCTGCATAGTCATTTGCATGTTGGTATGCAGAAATAAGTGGGAGTATCAAGACTAGTGGCAAGCAAAAATGTTTGCCAATAGAGGGCAATATAAGTTGAGAAAGCTTTTTGTGAGAGAGTATTTTAGGAAAATGTTAACTTTAAGTAACTTGCGTCATCGTATCTTTTTTGGTGATATTGCAATGAATTTTTAACGTTTTCTTATATTTAAAGCTAAAAACATTTGTCTATAATGTCTAACTATAATGGCTAATAACTACAAAAGGTATCTTATTAACTATAATCTTAAATCAAATGTATTTTGTAAGTTATGGGAGAAATGAAATTATGTGCTATTTTCTGAAAGCATTGTTTGTGGAATAGGCTAGAGGATTTTGTTTTGTAATATCTTATGAATCTATAAATAAGCAATGAGTTGCTCTAAGTACAGGAGTATTTGTTGAAGTACTCTACTACTAGTAATGCTGTTGTTGTCTGACTTGCTTTGGGAACAATAAGACAAGCTTGCTGCTTTGCCAGTTCTGAATGATGAGTAAAATTCATTCAAGTAAGAATGAATAATAATACAAAATTGTGTTAGAATAAATAACTAATATTGTGTTATTAATCCTCACTCTAATTCTATTTTGTAAAAATGACATATAAAATGAATAATAACTACACTTTACCAGCTTAATCTAGTTGACACCATAACTGTTGTTGCTCCTGCAGTTTGATAATATAAATACCATCTCAACCATTACTGTATCTATCATATCCAAGTCTACCTAATGAGCTCTGGTATTGGGTGAAAGGCCTCTTCAGCACTAGATATAATAGCAGGTGCAGCATGGTTGAAATATTGCTATACAGCCCTCTCTACTTTCACCCATAGGTTCTTAGAATATTTATGTTGCTAGAAAGAAAATAAAAGAAATCCAAATTATTGCAACATTACCTACTGTTACGTATCTGCTTGTTTGTTAATTTCCCATATAAATTCTTCCCAAGAAACTTCAGCGATACAAGTCCTTTCTTGATTAAAACTAATTTATTCTTTCTCAATACAAAATTTGTAATACACAGAGTTTCCACAGTAACTTTAAACTTAACGACCTTTTTAACACACTATAAATCACAGCGATTCACACACTTTACTTACAGTGCCTACTGTTCTCTTGACTCGATTATCTGTCTCTTCAATCTATCTCTATCCATCTATGCAATTGCACTGGTTTTTCTCACCAGGCTTATATACTAAAAAAGAGGGTGCCTCGAACAAACTCGGGCCACCCCGATAATTCATGATCCTTCCAGAAACTCCAGCATGCATGCTCCCAGCATCACGCGATTTCTGCTGTTGTAACATTGTCCCGAACATTAGCCACTTACATTAAACCAATAGATAATTAATGATAACTTAATTAAACGTACAGAATTTACAAACACAAAATTAAAATACAACAAAGTCTCTTTTGTACTGTTCTCTGTCTCATTGGCTTCTGCTTCACGTTGGGTTCATCTGCTCCATCAGAAAATGTCCCATTATCAGTCACATCAGTGGTAGTAACTTCATTAACGGCTTCACTGTCTTTCTTCTCAAAACTGGGTAAAGTTTCTTCTTCAACAGTGGATTTTTCAGGTGACACGTCTTCAGCAGCATCATTTGTTCTGTTGTTCACTTCATTCCAACTGAAATTACCTGGACCGTGATAATGCAAAAGCCTGTTGGCATGCACCACCTTTGGCTTACCTCGCCGACCACATTTTATTCGGAAAGTCACGTCTGAGAGACAATTTACTATGTCATATGGGTCTTCCCATGGAGAAGACAACTTAGGAGACTTCCCGTTGGTCTTCCTTGGATTATACAACCACACCTTGTCTCCTCGTACAAAGCTGACTTCAGTAGATCTCTTATCATAGCATAGCTTCATGGAGTCAGCAGATGTTTTCAAGTTTCAATGCACTTGATGGTGAATATCATTCATCCTTTCAGATAACACTTTCACGAACTCTGGCACATTTTCAGGCAACTCTTTGTAAGGTGGGCATCCTGTTATCAGGTCCACTGGCATCCAAAGTTCCCGACCAAACATCGGCTTTGCTGGAGTGTATCCAGTGGCTTCATGCTTTGCTGTTCAATAGGCCATCAACAGTGGAGGGAGTAAGACATCCCAGTCATCTTGGCAGCTATTGCAAAATTTTGCCAATTCCTATCACAGTGTACAATTGTACTTTTCTACCATCCTATCAGACTGTGGGTGAAGTGGCATTGTCCTGGTCTTTTGTATGCCAAACAACTTGCAGCATTTATGGAACACAGCTGAATCGAATGCAGTTCGTATGGCATAGCAAACCTGAAAAAGAAATAGTAATAGCTGAAGCTACACTTGTAGCTTTCTGATTTGGTATTGCATGTGCCTCAGACCACTTGGTGAAATAATCCATCACCACACAAATGTACCTGTTTCCAGCATGAGTTTGGGGCAAAGGACGAGCAATGTCAATGGCTACTCGTTCCATTGGTGTTCCAACTTGATATAACTTCATTGGAGCACATCCCTTATGCTTGGGTCCCCCTTTTAGCACAACATGTACTGCAGGTCCTGCAACATTCTTCCACATCTTGCCTCATACCTATCCAGTAAAATCTCTGCCATAGGTGACTCAGTGTCTTCTTAACTCCAAGATATCATCCTGTTAAACTATAATTGGATTGATGCAGCACAACTTCCCGTAACTTCCCAGTATAACTGTTTGCCAGTTTCCATTCTCTGGACAAGAATACCATCTTCAAGCTTCAACTGGTCCCATTGTGCCAAATAGTTCTTTGTCACAGGGCTTAAGCAGGATGCAAAACACTTGCTTTTAGAAAATCAATTATTGGCTTCAAATCTTGGTCTTTCTCCTGCTCTACTTTAATATCTATACCTCGTTCCACTTCACCATCATCTACTCCTTCAGTCACTTTGACTTCAGCTTGATGGCACCTGATTAGCTCAAACTCTCTTTTGCAGCAATGTCTGCAGTAATTTTTGCAGGCTCTTCGGCTCAGTCCATCAGCATTTCCTTGAGATTTTCCTTCTCTGTATTCAATATCATAATTATACTGGTCTATCTTTCCGACCC